CAAACAAACTGGTACCAGTTTTACACCAACTCTGACGAACATAAAAAGGTAAAAAGAATTTCGTAGAATGGTACAAGTTTTTCCACAAAATGTACCACTTCTTCTTTTATGCAGTACCAGTTATTGGTCAATTAGTACCTACTTTGTAGAAAGAACAAAAAATGGATTACTTCAAATTTGGTAAACATTTTCAAATTAGTACCAGACCTAGAGTAACATAGTACTGCAATTATAGTGCTCTAGTACCAGATATCGGGTCTTCAGTACCAACTTCGACGAACATAAAAAACAACAAATTTTGGTCTCAAATGATGTTTGCATGACCAATAGTCACTCTCACATTAGTTTCTATGAGATTTAGAATGTGTTTAATTAAGTTAATCACAAATTGGTCATGAACTCAACACTCACATGAAAAAACACTACTAATACACTTCATCTCATTGAATGATCATACATGATTACTCTAAATTCTACCTATATGTTTTAACTTCCACTATTTCTCAATCAAATCACGCGTCAACGATCCACATGACATGATAGACATGGAGAATTAAAGAAATCACAATTACTAAAATGATACCATATTTGACAGAAATAGTACCACTAATTCTTCTGTGTAGTACCTGTTTTTAATCAATTAGTACCTACTTTTGGTCAACAAAAATGAATTACTTCAATTTTGGTCAACATTTGCAAAAATTGGTACCAGACCTAGAGTAAGATAGTACCAAATTTCTGGTGTTCTAGTACCAGATATCGGGTCTTCAGTACTAACTCCGAATAACATAAAGAAACACCGAATTTCAGTCTCAAATGATGTTTATATGACACATAATCACTCTCACATTAGTTTATATGAGATTTAAAATATTTTTAATTGAGTTTAATCATAAAGTGGTAATAAACTCGACACACTAATGAGAAAACACTACTAATACACTTCATTTCATTGAATGACACACTTCATCTCATAGAACCATCATACATGACGACTACAAATTCTACCTATATGTTTTAACTTCCACTATTTTCATCCAAATCACGCGTGAACGATCCACATGTCATGGTAGACATGAAGGATTAGAGAAATCATGATACTTAAAATAGTACCTGTTTTAGCCAAAATAATACCGCATCTTCTCCTACGTGGTACCTATTTTTTATCGATTAGTACCTACTTTTGTGAACGAAAGTAGATTATTTCAATTTCGGTCAACATTTATAAAAAATAGTACCAAACATAGAGTAAGATAGTACCAATTTTATATTGTTGTATTACCTGATATTGGGTCTTCAGTACCTCTTGTAATGAACACATAAAAACACCGAATTTCGGTGTCAAATGATGTTTATATGATCCATAATCACTCTCACATTCTTTTATATGAGATTTAAAATGTTTTTAATTGAGTTTAATCGTAAAGTGGTCATGAACTCGACACACTAATGAGAAAATACTACTAATACACTTCATTTCATTGAATGATACACTTCATCTCATAAAATCATCATACATGACTACTCTAAATTGTACCTATATGTTTTAAATTTCACTATTTCTCAACCAAATCACTCGTTAATGATCCCCGTGACATGGTAGACATTGGGAATTAAAGAAATCACGATTACTAAAACGGTACCCGTTTTGACAGAAATAGTACCCATTCTTCTTCTGCGTAGTACCTGTTTTTAATCAATTAGTACCCACTTTTGGTCAACGAAAATGGATTACTTCAATTTTGGTCAACATTTGCAAAAAATGGTACCAGGCCTAGAGTAAGATAGTACTAGCTTTTGGTGTTTTAGTACCAGATATCGGGTCTTTTGTACCAACTCCGACGAAGATAAAAAACACCGAATTTCGGCCTCAAATGATGTTTATATGACCCATAATCACTCTCACATTAGTTTCTATGAGATTTAAAATGTTTTTAATTGAGTTTAATAGTAAATTGGTCATGACCTCGACACACTAATAAGAAAACACTACTAATACACTTCATTTCATTGAATGACACATTTCATCTCATACAATCATCATATGTGACTACTCCAAATTCTACCTATATGTTTACCTTCCACTATTTTTCATCCAAATCATGCGTGAATGATCCACGTGTCATGGTAGATATGAAGGATTAGAGAAATCACGATTCTTAAAATAGTACCTGTTTTAGCCAAAATAGGACCGCAACTTCTTGTACGTGTACCTGTTTTGGAATGATTAGTACCTTTGTGAACGAAAATGGATTATTTCAATTTTGGTCAACATTTACAAAAAGTAGTACCATACATATAGTAAGATAATACCAGTTTTATATTATTCTAGTACCTGATATTGGGTCTTTAGAACCACTTGTATTGAATACATAAAAACACCAAATTTTGGTCTCAAATGAGGTTTATATGACCCATAATCACTCTCACATTACTTTATATGAGATTTAAAATGTTTTTAATTGAGTTTAATCATAAAATGGTCATGAACTCGACACACTAATGAGTAAACATTACTAATACTGTAACGCCCCGTTTTATTTTTAAGAATTTATCGAATTTATTTAATAAGAATCAGAGTTTTTTTTTTTTAAGAATCAAGTTAAAACCTTTATCGAGAAACGGGCGCTACTTACTAACATCAACAAATAACACACATCCAACAACTCAAGGAAACTACACATGCACGAGCTAACAATAAAACAAGTTCCAATAAAACGTAAGTCTTTAAACCATTTCAAAAGACCTAACATTATTCAAAATTCAACCAAATCCTACACATACATAAGCCAACAGTTATACAAATAAACCAGCTTATTCAAGTCTCAACATTATCCAAAAAGTTTAACATAAATCCATGGTTCATCCAACACAAACATGATTTCAAGCTGAAGCATAAATAATCCAAAATAAAAGCAAGTAGTTCATCATATAATAAAAATAGGCGGAAGCAAAGACACATCAATTAATGACCACCATCTCGCTCGTCCTACGCCACCGCCTCCAGCTCGTCTCAACCTAAAACAAAGGAAGAGAGAAGACAACAAGAAAAT